TGGGATTAAAGGTGTGTGCTACCACACCTTGAAGTCACAGAGGTCAATCTACCTCTGCCTCCCAAGTGTTGGGATTAAAGGTTTGTACCACCACACCAAACTACTCTCTTTCTTTTTTACTTTAAGAACTTTAACCTTTAGCTTGCATATATTTTTAACACACTGTAAACCATTTAGAGGTTTTCTTTGTCTTTGAATCTCTCTTTACTGTATATTTCTCTTTTTCTGACTACATGAGTCTTTAATTTGCTAAGCAATGTGGGTAGGATTAAAGCCGTGGCTTTGATGGCTGGATCCAGCCCATTTCTTAGCTTTCTGTGATTCCAGCTTCATGGCAGAGGTACAGTTATAGCCATGTTTATTGTCACAACTCTATGGCATTTCAAGGTCCCTGCCAGCAATCAAGCTGAAACAGTATGTCCACAGACAACACTCAAATCCTCTCTCTGTAGCCAGACCTCTTGCCTCAAAGAGTCAGAGTTTGCACTGGCAGGATAGCCCAGAAAGCCGGCATTTTGAAACAGTGCAACTTTTTTCCTGCTATAGCTGAAAACCAAAAAGCATGTGATCAGCTTTTCATCAACACCAATTAAGTGTTTTATGGCAGTACCTCTTTAAAATACTGCAGGGTTTTGCAGCTAAAGCTGAGTCAGGAAACCTCTCTTAAACGAGAACACTTGCCTCTAGCAAGCAGAACAGATCTGAGAAATTGCTGCTACCAAGAAGACATGCTTTACTCTATTCTTTCCCAAGCTTTCTCGTGCTTTCTGTGAATGTAGGTATCTACATGGACGCCATTCTGTAACATGGGGGTTGGCTTGTTGGGGTTTCTGTTTTCCCACCAGGTCCCACAGCCAGCAAGTCCCAAAGAAAATCACACAGAGGGTCTGCATTAATTATAAACTGATTGGCCCATTAGCTCAGTCTTCTTATTAGCTCTTTTAGCTTATATTAACCTATTGTTCTTACCTATGTTAGCCACATGGCCCAGTACCTTTCTCAGCAGGGCAGATTACATCCTGCTTTTCTGGTGTTCTGGGCACGAGTCTGGGAAGAACTTCCTTCTTCCCAGACTTTTGTTCTCATTGCCCTGCCTCTTCTTCCTTTCTGGTTGACCCACCTATGCTTCCTGCCTGGCCAATCAGCATTTATTTAAAACATGATATGACCCCAAAATATAGACAATTCTCCCATACCACCATGCCCATGTTCCCAAAAAATGAACTATGGATATTTTCCTTTGTTTAAGAAAAAAAAAGAGGGGGAACACATATGGCTTACTAAAATTGAACCAAGAGAGTATAGAATAAAACAATTTAAAAATAAGTAATGAGATTGATACGGTAACTTAAAGATATCTCTTAGCAAAGAAAATCTTATGACCAGACCATTCATTAACTGGATGACTTTTCCAGATTTAATGAAGAGCTAATGGTAACACTTCCCAAACTACACCACGAGGGAGGAAAGAAAGGGATGCTTCCACACTCGTTTTGTGAAGTGACTATGACCCCAAATGTGAGACTCAGACCCAACCAAAAAAGAAAAAATAAAAGCTGAAAAAGCAATAGAGCAAAATCCTTCCTGAGCATTGACACAAAACCCAGCAATTAAGGGTCATTTGATGACAGAGATGTCATTTTCTTCTGTGGCAAACCACTGATACATTGAGCTTTGTCCTGCACATAACCTCCCTCCCACATTCAGGCAAGAAACTATATGCAAAATCAGTGAGCCACACACACACACAAAGATGTGAAAGTAGGAGGGGGCTTGCTGAGGAGCAAGGCTGGGCGGGGGGAGAGGGAAGGAGTGGGAAGGGGGAACAGTGAGGAAAGCAGCTCAACCCTATCACGTAAGTGAAGGAAACCATCATGCAACAGTTTCTAAAATCCTCCACAAAATAGTTTCAGAAATTCACTAACATGTGAAGAAGATGCATGAAATCAAGTTGCTTTCATTCCAGGGTCACATTATCATCTCAGTAGAAAACACTTTTGACAAAATTCAACAGTTCTTTATGTTAAAAGTTTCATGGAAGCTAGGTGCAGAAGAATAACGCCTTCTGCATAGCAAGAACATACAGCAGACCTGTGGCCAACCTCACATTAGATGGAAGAATCTCTGTGTCACTCTTATTTAATAAAGATCTGACATCTTTGCCAAGGAAATAAAGCAAACAATAAGCATAATACAAATAAGGAAGAATTGGGGCCACCTATTTTTATGGATGACATGATCCTGAGATACAGAAAATATGCCACCAAAAGATTGGGTAGAGCTGATGGGCCAATTTAGCAATAAAATCAGAAAAATCTTAACATAAGTTATTATTTTTCTGTCACCAATAATGAATTTGCCAAGGAAGAAAATGGGGGAGGGGAATCCTGTTCACAGTAGCCTCAAAAACATAAAATATTTAGAAATAAATCTAAAGAAGAGGCCAGGAGGTGGTGGCACATGCCTTTAATCCCAACACTTGGGAGGTAGAGACAGGCGGATCTCTGTGAGTTGGAGGCCAGCCTGGTCTACAGAGCTAGTTCCAGGTCAGTCTCCAAAAACTACAGAGAAACCCTGTCTCGAAAATCAAAAAAAATTAAAGAAGGTAGTATAGAGTTGAAGGACCCCCTTGTGTTTGTGGTTCAGCAAAACTGTATTGTTATATTACTATTTTACTAGAAACGATCTGTAATTGGTAAATGTCATTAACTAGTTGTGGATGCTCAGCTAATCCCCTGTATTCTTTATTTCTGTTTCCTCATTTAGAGTAAAGGAGGCAAAGTAGAGGATGGTCTTTGGATCCTACTTCCCTTTCCCAAGAAAGGACCTGGTTTAGAATACTGAGACAAGGGCTGTCAGATGAAAGTAATCTCTGTGAGAGTGGAACTATCAGCTGAGCACCAGCACCGCATGAGACCACCCCTCACGAAGAAGGCACCACACAACCCTGACACTCCTGCAGTTCCGTGCTGCCCGGCAGAACGGTTTCCAACAGAGAGATACGGGCAGGTTTCATAGGTGAGAATGAACTCCGTTTATAGTTTTAACATATGCTTTTTAATACAGTGTTTTAAAAGTTGGCCTTTTCTGCTAGAGTGTAAGCAGTTAGTTGACTTGAGATCCTCTGCTTAGGCTGTTCTCCTAAGTCTATTTCAGAAAGTGACGTTCAGAGAAACAGGATGGCCTGCTTCATGTTCCAGCTAAATATGTAGCTCTGATCTTCTAGTGGACAGGAATCTCAGTTTAGACACTTAGAGGTTGCACTGTCTTTCAAGAATTACTTACGTTCGCTATTTCCAGGTTTCTTTGTTCATAAAAAAGAGAATAAAATAATTATTCCCTTGTGATATAATTCAAGAATCAAAGAGCATATAAAATAAAGATCAAAACTAGCAACTTATTTCTGATACCCAGTGTGTTCCAGTCTTCTGAAAATATTTGAATAAAATAAGTTGCTCAAAATCAGAAGTTATATTGGTTATTGATTATGGATAACAAATGTAGTGTGGAAAACAAAGTTGAGCAAGGTGCAGTCTGGGTTACTGATAAAAATCCAAGTGGGGAGGGGAAGTAAGGCACAAGGGAATAAATAAAATACTAGGTAGAATTAGGTAAATCTGCCTCAGAGGCAGCCAAGTGCGAGCAATAACTCAGAGGAGAAGACAGCAGGGTGAGCTCCCAGCCTAGGTTCAGCAAAGGCTGTATGGCTGAGTGGTGTTTTCATCATGATGCAACAAAGAGTGCATCTACTGCATTCTCCCCCAGTCCTCCCTGTGGAGATGAGTGGATAAATGCTGAGAAACTCATCATGATTCCACCCACAGGAATCAGGAGGCAGGGTTGAACTTGTATCCACTCTTCAGCTAGGAATTTTCAAGTTTAATTTTTGAACCAGAGTAGGGGCTGGGTGTCCCTGGAGGGTAATGTGCTGGTCAGGATGGAAGCTAGGTGTCTCCGGAGGGTGGTGTGCTGGTCAGGATGGGGGCTGGGTGTCCCTGGAGGGTGATCTGCTGGTCAGGGTGGGGGCTGGGTGTCCCCAGAGGGTGGTCTGCTGGTCAGGGTGGGGGCTGGGTGTCCCCAGAGGGTGGTCTGCTGGTCAGGGTGGGGGCTGGGTGTCCCCGGAGGGTGGTCTGCTTGTTTTGCAACCAGAAATCACCGCTGCCAAGCACTGGAGGCATAAGCATCAGTGTAATACCAGGAGAGCAGCCAAGGCCCCACTAGGGTTGCTTTTATTGTTTGTCTAAAGTGGATGTTTTTCCAAGGAAATTGCATTGTTTTCCCGAAAGGAGATCCATCATCCTTGTCTTTGTGGTTACAGAACAGGAATCAAATTGATGGGGTTATGGCTGCCTGCTCCAAAGGAAAGAAAACTTTGACAAACCAGACATCTCCTTTCTTTGCCTGGCCCTGCCCAAGGGTAAGAACATCTTTGAACTCAGAGTGTCATGCTTGGCCTTGAAGGAGGCCATCCCTAGGATCTGACTCTAAGAAACCTTCGGATACCTTGGAAACACAATGCAGAGACTGAGGTCCTTCTTAAAAACTTCAAAGAGTGCTGATCATTTCCTTCCTCTCAGATTCTGGAGGGTTAATTTGAACCCGGATGCTTGGGAAATTATAGAGTTGTATGGCCCAGATTCCCAAATTCAGCAAAAGCATTTGAATAGAAATGGGGCCAAAGAAGCCCTAACTATACCCAGGTTAATGTTAGTACTGCTAATGTTAAAACTATAATTCCCCCTGATTTGACTAAAATGTATTCTAGTGCATACAGTTTGGGGGTGCTGTAAATATGGACTTTTCAGCCATCCTTGCCATTCAGTGTCTATAGTAAGATACTACCTAAGTTTTAAGTGATCCATCTGAGTCAGAGCCAAACCTCAAAACACTAGACTAGTGCCACTGTCTTGGGGTTAAATCCAGGACCTAACAGGGTGCAGAGACCAAAGGTTCATCACAACCCTTGCCAGACTCCCTCAGAGACTCATTGGAGCGCCATCTCTCAAGCCATTCCCACCACCGTTCACTCCCACAGATTGCTCAATGCGTTCCTTTGGTCTCTGCTGCAGGCCCTGGCGATGACAGTGCCTTCACCTCCAGGAATACTGACCTCCTTTTCCAAGCTGAATCTCTTCCCTTCTCCCAGAAGGGAGGCCTGCCTCTATCTGCTATGTTCTCCTGGCAGCAACTTTCCCAGCTCCTTCTCCTGGGCCAAGAGCACATGCTCATGTCCAGTTATGTCTTAAAGGGCTGAAAGTCTACCACGCTCCGCAAACTCATCGTCCTCGTCTGCTACTGATTGTTCACTGTGTCTCAGGCCTTGTATTGCTTTCTTCAGCCCTCAAATGGTAAGTCAGATATTACTGTCTTACAAATGCACATTCAAAGCTCATGTCTTGGCGTTAAGTCGTCAAATTCAACTGTTGAGTTCATCCTTTCCTTTTCATTTGCTCCAGTTTTGTCCCTGGACCTACTTCATTCTTCTTGGGTTTGCTGCTGCTGTGTTGCTTTGTTTTGTTTCTGGTGCTAAGCCTGGCTCAGGGCCCTGCACACCAGGGCCAAGTAACATGGCACTTGGTCACATCCTCAGCCCTCTGTTTTAGTGACCCTTCTAAAACCATCTCTCACCCCATGATCGTTTTCATCATGGACATAGCTTGATCTTTTTCACATCCAAACAATCCATTTCTCCTTGAAACTTCTACCTGGCTACACTCATGCAAGCTGAGTGCTTTCCTTCCACCCTGTCTCCAAAGAGGCATTTAGTGCCCTTGTAAATTCAGCAATCCAGTAATTCAGGCCTGAAGAGCTGTCTTGGTCCCTTCTCCAACCTGCTAAGACATGACAAAGATCAGATACAGGTACCCTTAATATGACTATCTGTGGATTTTAGGAAAACATGTAAATTGCCTAGAAGTTCAAGATTCCAGGTATATTAATGTTTAGGGGAAATTAAATATTTTGATAGTAAATATTTCAAAGAAACACTAACTAAATAAGGACACAGTATGAGGATTTGAGACAGAACTCATGAGAGTGACACTCAGATTATGAAAACTGGCAGAGCATTTTGTTCTGTGGTCAAAATGCCCCTCCCCTTTAAGGCTTCATATCATTTTGCTTTGCCTGTTTATAGTCAACAAAGCCCTCTTACTTCTCAGTCCTCTAAGCTCACACAGTCTTTGCATGAGCACACATCTCCCCATTTTGTTCATTTTTTTTTCTATTTTCTGTTCACTTTTTCAGACCTTGGCAAGCACAGTTATTTGTTGCATAGCTTTTGAATCCATAGACAAATTCTAGAAATTGTTGAAACAAGTGCCCCACCTGCCTTCCAGCCAAAGCTCTTCAGAGTGATTTTCAGCCATGTGCCCAGAACAAAACCCCACAGCAGCAAATACAGCTGTTGCTCCCTGCCTTCTTTCTAGGCCGAGGACCACGAGGACCACGGGGAATGTGTGTTTTTAAACAGAAAGGTTAAAAGCTAGAGAAGTTTGTCTTCATGGTAAACATGTGATTGTTTACAACAGTCACAGCAGGACAAGGCACACTCCCTCCCTCCCTTAAAGTGACACTCAACCTGTTGTTGACCCTGTTTGTCACCTCTGTGTCCAACCCCACCTGAGAGGGGAGGCCTTTCAGTACCACCTGCCCTCCATCCATCATCCCTAAGAAAGTTCATTTCTGTCTGATCTAAACCCAGTCCTCTAGTGACCTTTGTCACTGTACCCTGTGAGTGACCTGCGGTCCCCATTTCAGGTAACTCACTCTATGCTGCATCAGCTGACTTCTCGAGCTGACATTTCTCCCGCGGTTCTCAGATGAGCTTACAGCCACTTGAAGTCTACTCCTGCTCTCTCCATCTCCCTATTTAGAGCTTCAAGTCATAGTTTGTTTCTCCGGTCACTCAGCAGAGTCTCCTATTAGTATCTGCCTGTCCACTTCTACCATCACCCCCCCCCCCCAGCTCAGATCTCCCCTAACATCTAAGATGTTCTTGCCACTGGTCTGGATGACGTTATGATCTAGCACCTTAGAATTCCCACCCTTCTTTTTTTTAATTAATTTATTTATTTATTAAAGATTTCTGTCTCTTCCCCGCCACCACCTCCCCTTTCCCTCCCCCTCCCCCCACCCAGTCCCCCTCCCTCCCCGCCCAAAGAGCAATCAGGGTTCCCTGCCCTGTGGAAAGTCCATAGCGAACAATGAGGACTACTGAGAACTCAAGAGCAATGGCAATGGGTTTTTGATCCTACTGCACGTACTGGCTTTGTAGGAGCCTAGGCAGTTTGGATGCTCACCTCACTAGACCTGGATGGAGGAGGGTGGTCCTTGGAATTCCCACCCTTCTTAAAAGTGACCCAGAGCTCCTTAAACCCTAGTCTCTCTTTACTCTCCCGACACCCACTCTTAGCCCTCTTTCCATTTCACTGATAACCTCCTGGCTCTTCCCCAGGTTCTCTCTCGTTCTGTGCCTCAAGCCGGTGGCTCCTGCATGATTCTGTCCTTATTTCTCCTTTTATTTCCCATGGTACAAGATCAAACCTGCTGCACCTGACATTACATTCTCCTTTCCTATCCTTGGCCAAAGCCATCGGTCCCTGCGATGTTTTATTTTTATCTTGCAGCTGACCTCTTTTCTTTCATCCGTGTTCTTCTAAACTGAGCAGCGTTGTCCCTACTTACACAATAGTTTGAGGTCATTTGTTCCAATGTTACACATCCGACAAGTGATATTAAATGTGTGTCAGTTTCAGGGTCCTCCCCCAACCATACTAGTCTGAAAATAGAGACTATTACTCTAAAAATTAAGAATAATTTCCAATTATATGCCATTGGAAGTATTTACCCTTTCTAGAAATTTTCCCTCCTCTGTAAAGGATTGATAATTACTTTATTGGGTCCTTATTTTGAAAGATCTGCTGATAGAAACGTTAGCTATAGACACTACTAGGGTGGCAACTGGAGAAAACCAGCTTTAGAAGGGAGCTTGTCCTGGGTTTATAATCTCTGCCTCCTGTGTGACCGACCTGCTCTAGGGGAAGGCACCCAACCAGACTTCTCTCTATCAAGACCTCAAAAGTCCTCTTGCTCTTCCGAGTCTTCCCACAGAGCCAAGGGGAGACTGTTGTTGCTTCTTCACAGAGGGCTACTCATAGAGGCGTCCTCCCGAAACTAGGAGCACTCGGCTCAGAAATTCATCTAAGCAGTCATAGTTTACAAACAGAGCACTTTGGCTCACATGTCACTGTTTGCTAGCTACGCAACACATCTGTCCCATCACGGGAGACTCTGATCCTCATAGACAGTACCCACCTAATGTGCTTCTTCCCAACTAGAACATTCCAACTGCAAGGCATGCAGTCATCCTCAAGGGAAAAAAAAAACACTATTCCCTCTGCCAACTTCTGAGTGAAGAAGTGGGGTGTGGAGACATGGTAGGATGAGCATAGACATGGGTGTGGAGACATCTACATGGGTGTAGACATGGCAGGAGGAGGAAGTGCCCCACAACACTCTGACTATTAGGGGAAGTTCCCCTGGAACAGTCCATCTTTAGAAATGGAGGCTCCGAGCCAGGCATCTGATGTCACAGGAATACTTTTTAAATCTCTATTATTCAAAAAAGAATGAACACCATTGGGTGAAGACTCATTAAACCTAAAATCAATTAATTCTAACTTGAAGACTGCAAAAGTCACCTCGCACTTTTAGTTGGCACAGAGTCATGCACAGCAGTGTGTGGAAAGAGTGTGTAATGATCAGATCGAGGATGCTCGCATCCCTGCCGTCTAGACACATCATTCCTTGGTGTAATCTTCAACTGATTGTTGTCAACCATAATTATCCCAATGCTATGAAACATTAGAAATCATTCCTATCTAATTACATCTCTGTACCCACTTAATATCCTCTATGGGAAGCCCCCCTCATGTGTGTGTGTGTGTGTGTGTGTTTGTGTGTTCTCCAATGGCCTTCACACATGTTCGTAAGACAATGTAGAAGTTGGAGAACCACCTCAGAGGTTGATTCTCTGCTTCCACATTGTTTGAGGCAGGGTCTCTTTGCTGTTTGCCAGGACCCGGGGACTCTGGTAGTCCACCGAGCATCTTGCTATAGAAGCTCAGGGAAGACAGATGAATGCTACTTCCCTTAGCTTCTCTCTGAGTTCAGGCGATTTGAGATCAGATCCTCATGTTAAAGCAACAAGTTCTTTACCCACGAAGCTCCCTCCCCAGCCATGCAGTTTCCTTTTAAGAAAACAATGGTTACTTACTTAGTCATTATCTTAGGGTGTTTGTTCACTCGACGTGTTGTGTGACCCATTAGCAAGACTTGAAAGATTTGCTCTACGCACAGTCGAGAAATTATTATGTGCTTTTATTTTTATTAGACCATCATCTAAATTCTATGCAAGTGTCCAGTTTTCCACACTCTGATTAAAAGCCTGAAGCAGAGGTAAAGGAAACCCTCTCTAGAACACTGGACTGGGCAGCTCAAAAGACAGCTTCAGTGATGACAAAGGCTCTGCTGCTTCCTCAATGTCCCCAAGAACATGAGTTCCGATGAGATTAGGCACACTTAAGCTGGTACAGCCACACCCACAAAATACACATTCAAATAAAAATGACCTTGTTAGATTGAGCTCAAAAAGAAGTCAATGCATATTAGGTATAATTTTAAGCATGTATATGAGACTAAACCAGTGAATTACATATTATAAACACTTAACTCGTTAATATCCATTATGTACACTGTACGCTAGCCTGCCAAAAGGCTTGGCAGGGGACTATGTGCTGAGAACAGCGGCTTCCCATCTCATACTTAGATGACCCTCCGGCTTGGGTATTCACCATGAGCCTGGGTGCAGACAGGGAGGATGGGAGAAGGTGTGCATGAACAGACATCTGGATGAGGGGCCAGCCCAAGAAAAATGATGACAACTCATTTTCTTATTTTTTATTTTTTCCCAGCAAGGTCACAAGTGTGTCCTGTGTTAAGAAAGACTGGGACACGCTGGTCTGAGGACAAAAACCCTAGCTCATTTTGTTCTATTCCCGGAACGGCAAGTGCTTGCTGGAGATTATTCATCCACGGTTCGGAAGCGCTGTGAGCCTGTTTACTGCTGCATCCTTCTGCTCTGTTACATAACACAAGAGGACAGACTCTGGAAAACACGAAAGGGGGGACGCTCGCATAAGAACATCGTGTGAGATACCTCAAGCTCTCTCCACCTTCTGTTAAAAGCCACGTTCCCCGAGCTCACAAGTTTCCTTTGGTGAACAATTGCAATGTATAGTCAGAGTTTGAATGGTTGCCAACTAAAATTCTTGCATCGAGCTCCATGGCTCTCTGTTCCACCAAGACAAATAAGAGTGGCCCCAACCCCTCACTTAGAGCATTGTTCACGGTGCTGAGCCGTGATTTTCCATATCTGTCTTTGTGTTCACCCCAGGAGGAAGGGTGAGCCTGGTTTATTGAGTTCTTATTTCTCACAAAGCGGTAACATCTGGAGGGCTGAGCAGTTTGTTGGCAGGTCCAGTCTGAAGGAATTCGGCCATGATTCCGATTGGCTCTTATCAGTAGGTGTCACTAAAGACAGTTTCAGAGACAGAAAAATAAATAGGCCAATTAAGTAATGCCAAGAACAGCCTATTTTATAGTCATTTCTGCTCCTTTTATTGTTGTTCCAACTGCAGAAGTTTCAAGATTGTAATTATCCCCGGCTTTCCCCCCCTGCTGCAAATGAACATTTTTCCATTTTCCAAATGCCTCCAAGAGAGGGACATTTAATTAATATATTTATTTTGTGGTGCTTGATGTAGTGGGTTAGCAAAATGAAAACAGATGAAGGCTATTAATTCTAACACTTTATTGCAATGAAGCTACAGCCAGCTGTTCCTCTGCAAACAGGCTAACCGAGACTTTGCCAGCCCCTTTCTCTGCAGCCTGATGCTTCATGTTCGTAGAGAGCAAGGCCCCTCACTCATCCCACCTTGGCCATGCTTTTGTGTCCCTAGAGGTTACAAATGCTGGCTGCCTATTTCTGAGATCAGCAGAAGTGACGCCTAGGCCACCACACCCACTGGTGACTGACACCTACCCCCTGCAAAGGAAGAAGTCCAGTAGGGAAAATTCAAGTTGATCTCCAAATCCGAACAATCCTGAGAGGTACCTGAGAAAAACAAGTTGGGAAATGGTCAAATCAATAGATTTTATTTGCAACATGGTTTGTGACTAATACCAGGTATGGCCTGGGGTAGGTGTCCAGGTCATGTCTGCAAAATAAGTGAAATAGCTGCCACAGTTTGCTAAACTATGAACCTATTCCTTAAGGCTCTTAAATGCGCTCTGCACCTCCCTGCCACTGTGTGCTAAAGATGGATGCACCGCATTTGGGTGAGCATTTGCAGGGCATGAGCCTGGGTGAGTGCTTACCTGTCCTCCCACTTCAGAAACATCCCCTTAACACCTGTATGTAGACTCTTGGGTTTAAGGACAAAACTCGGTGGCTTTTAACCCAAAATACTTAATAATTACAAAGATAAAAGCAAGCAGCAGGCAATAGTCAAGAGCAGCAGTAGGCTAGGGTGTGCTCGTCCTGGCCCCTACATGGTTTCTCTTAATCCCACAAAGGCCACGTGCTGACTGTGATGGATGCTATCATCATCTTACATGAGAAAACGTGCATCATCCTTGCTGTCTGTTCACAAGGATACAACTGCAACGTGGTAGAGTCGGACTGGAGAGCAGTCTGCCTGAGTCTAAACCTGCTCTCTTGATGGCCCCTTCTGACCCAGAACCAGTAGCAAGCCTAAATAATGACAAAAAAAAAAAAAAAGAGCATGTTAGGAAGAAAACAAAATGGATGCTGAGAGAAAATGGAGGGCAAAGTCTACACTGTGGGATGCATGGCTGAAATGTTTGTGTGCAGCACAAAAGTATCGATAGTTCCCACAGCTGGGAACTGTTTATACCCACGGCACTGCCGTCCATGCTCTGGATACAATAGGAAAGGACATTGTCAACAGTCTTCCCCGGTATCATTTTGCAATTTCAGACTTGCAAGTCCAAGGAACATGATATCATTTTCATTTATTAACAAAATTATTAAGTTATACAAGCTATAAATCCACATTCCTATGTTTTCCAAGAAAAAAATAAATGTTCTGTGAATTGACAATTACATATCACAAGACCGAATCTACTGGCCCTAAGATGTTCCACATCTGTAGTTCCTCAGCACAGGGCCCACAAAGTATTTAATGCAAGAGCTTCAGAAGCCAATGCTGTCCTTCTGTTTAAGATCAACAGTGCATCAATCCAAAGAAAGATAGATTTAGCTTACAACTGACAAGGGTATTACTTAACATCTTTTCATAGATCGGGATAGTTATAAACCACCAAATCCTTTTTTAAAGATATATTTCATGTGTATGAATGTCTTGTCAGCCTGTAAGTATGTACACCACTGCCATGCGTGGTCTTCAAGGAAGTCAGAGGAGGACATCAGATGCTCCTGGAACTGGAGATTGTGAGTCATCACATGGGTGCTGGGAATCAAACCTAGGTCCTCTTCAAGAGCAGTTAATACTAAGCAGCCACAGCACACCTTTCAGAGTGACTGTTTCTGAGAAAATCTCATCCTCTAAGATGTGCAACTCATCTAAAGTAAACATTCCAGCACACTTCAAAGAACACAGGTCATGAGTATCCTAAATGGTGACTATCATAGTAGTATTATATCTATAACATACTCAAAAACCCAGCTTAGGAGGTGTATTTGGCATTCTTCATCCTGATGGCAAGTGGAAAAGAAGCACTTAGTGGGGGCATGAGGGTCGTTTTGTCAGGATTAGTGATATGGTGTGCCCAGATCACCAAATGGTGCAAGAAGACTCAGTAAGGGCATACTTTGTGGGCCATAGCAAAACAATTTGAAATAAACTTTACTAGAAGCCTCAGTTCTTACTGATGGATTCACTAGATCCACATCTTTAAACAGTGGAGGACTGATACGAACTGGGCACATGGTCAGCAGAGACAATGAAAGTTAGTGCTCTTATTTTAGATGCCAAGATCATCACGCAATTAAAAGGCAACCTGTCACGAAGGATTTGTCTTTAAAAGAATGAGAGATGTCCTCTACTTGACAAATCAGTAAAAGCTTTTTGGAAGAGGTGGCTTTTGAGAGGTGCCATGAAGACCATGTCAAATAAACCTTTGAAAAGTAGATAAAAGCGGCCATAATAGGGAGGGATTCAAAAGAAAGTACAAACATGCAGGAGAATAGATGTGGTTTAGTCTGGATGTGGTGGAGACAGGGCCTGAACTACAAAGGAGCACTACTCTCTGAGGAGCACCAAGGCCACACCAAAGATTCTGAGGATCGATTATTGCTCTGTCTTAAGAAAATGAATGGAGAAAACAAAGATAATTGACTTGTGTCAGAAAGAATGTTGGTTGTGCTCCTAGAATAAGAAAGTGAGAACGAGAATGCTTTGTGGGTGCTGGGTCCTGACATCTTATGTGGGCACAGTGAGTTTGGCTGCCCCTTGTCCAGGTTCGAACATTCTTATTAGTGGATCTAAAATTTGACCCTGGGGCTATAAATATGGAATGCCCTTTCCATGAATTGTCAATAGAAGCCAGTCAATTGCCAAGAAATAGTACTGAAGAGAAAATATTCTTGTATAGGCAAGGACCCCAAAATCCCAGAGGGTAACAGTATAAACAGACACTATAATTTTGCTTCCCAGCTGCCAAGACCTGAAAAATCACACAGAAACCATATTAATTGGAACACTGTTTGCTCAATGGTTTAGGTATATTCCTAGCTAGCTCTCACATCTTAAATTAACCCATTTCTATTAATTGGTGTATTGCCATGAGGCTGTGGCTTACCAGTACAGCATGTTACTCCTTCAGCGGCTACATGGCATCTCTTTCGACTCTGCCAACTCTCTCTATCTCTGATCAGATTTCCTACCCAGCTTACTCTGCTACACCATTGGCTCAAACAGCTTTATTCATTAACCAATAAAAGCTAATCATATCCAGAAGGACAGCCCCTATCAACAGAGTGCTATGGAAAAAGCACCTGTCAAGTGCCCAGACCTGAATTTGAATCTGTATTTCATCTTCTAAGAACTACATGGCTTCCAAGAGCCATGTTCTTCTGACCGTTCAGTGACAGGCGTCTAAAAAGTAATAGTGAAATCAACATCCAGTCACAGATGCCATCCACTACAAGACCTACAATGGCAGCAGCTGGGAAACAAAGCTCTGAGTATCCTGGTGAGTTTTTATCTTGCATAGATCCTGATGGGAGGACCATCTAGCAGTTAGGATCTAAGAATAAATGCACAGGAAGAAAATGAAAGCAAGCTGAGTACCAGCATTCATCTCTTGATGTTTCCCCAAAGTAGATGCAATGTGACTAGCTGCCTCAGGCTCCTGCCACCATACCTTCAACCTTGATGGAAGGTATCCTTACAGAATCAGTCCCATCATAGAAGCTGCAGTGTGACACAGTGAGTCACATAGTAAACGCTTTTGTCCACATATCTATACTTTCAAGTGTCCATTGCAAAGAGTCACTGGTCTGGTTCAAGGCCACTGGTTTCTGCTGCACTATTGATGCTGGACCCTCACTGGGCTTCCTCTTGGTCATCCTGCTGTTGCCCTGTGTTGTGAAAATCCTGCAGCTTTGGGTCTGCAGGACCAGTCCCTTCATGAGATTTTTTTCCTTTCTTTTTCTTTTCTTTCTCTTAAATTTTATTTGTGGGGTGGGTGGTAGCAAGGGCAGAGGACATATATGAAATGACAGGAAATGAATGGAATCGAGAGGTAGGATGTGAAAGACACAAAGAATAAGTAAAAAGAAAGTCTTTTTTAAAAGCCAAACAAACCCTGGCTTCCTTCGCTTGCCTCCATCATGGTTCTGTCTCTGCGATGGGAAAAGTAACAGATCGGGAGAGGGGCATTATAAGATCTGGCATTAGAACCTTGAGATGGCAGATGAACGATTGCATGGAAAGATATACAACTTCAGAGTCATGCGAAATGAAACCACAGTGAAATATTGCTACAACAGACCAGCTCAAACACCAAAGAATAACAGCGCAAAGTGGCAAAATCATATGACTTCCACATTATTATGAGAATGGTTGGTGGCTCATTCATTCTAGGAAACAGCTTGACAGTTCCTTCAAGACCTATAGATTTGTCCTGTAAAACCTGGTGATTGTTTTAGAGGAATTTTTCCTGAAGAAATATACACTTGCATTCACACAAAAACCCATACACAAATGTTTGTAGCAGATGAACACCAACACCTACCAATAGAAGCTAGTCAGTCACACCATAGCTCATTTACACCACACTGAGCCATAAAGATGAACAAACCGCTAGTACATGAACAGCCTAGGTGGATATTCAGAGAATTGCCTGAGGAAAAAGAAAAAGTCAAAGCCCAAAAGTAATATTCTAGAAGATTCCATTAAAACAAGATCTTGGCTTCTTTTTTCTTTTTTGTTTGAGGCGTGCGCATCTTTGTGTGTGTGTGTGTGTGTGTGTGTGTGTGTGTGTGTGTGTGTATGCATGATGGATCCACATGAGTAGGCAAATGTGTGAACCCATGCTCCTGCAGGCATGCTGGGTTTTTTCTCTGTTGCTTTCCATTTTGTGTCTTTGGACAGGGTCTCTTACTAAGCCAGAATCTCATAGTTTGCGCTAGGCTGGCTGGTCAGAAAGCTCCTGGGATGTACTTGTGTCCACTCCCTGCTGTCCTGAGATTTCAGGCACATGTAGCCACGCCCAACATTTTACATAAATGCTGGGGATTTGAACTCAGGTCCTCATGCTGCACAGAAAACATGCTTTCCCAGTGAGCCATCTCCCCAGGGGGCCTCCACTTATAGAACATTCTTAGAAGAACAAAATTAGAGAATAATAGTTGACAATGACTATGGAAAGTGTTGGAATGGCTGTGTGTGGACATAACTTACGAAAGGGAAAACGAGGATGTCTTTCACTGATAGAAATACCTTGGGTATTGACTGTATTAGTGCCAAGGCCCTGATTATTATGGTATATAATAATTTTCAGTGTGCTTTCATAGGTGAGCCCTCAAAGTGTTGTTTATTACTATGTCATGAACCTACAGTAATGGTTTAGAACAATCTATGGCAATATCCCCAACTATCTCCTGTGTTTACTGAGATTCACAAGGAGTGGCCCTACGTGTCCCTGAGTTATTGAGAAGAGAGGGGAGAAAAAGGATGAAGACTGGACTGTTGGGAAGAGAAAAAAATTTTAAAATGCAAAAGATTACTAGACCGTTCTAGAGAACAGTCTGGGAGAAATAGAGGAAAGAATAGTTGGGCCGTTCCAGTAGGAAGTGAAATATGACATCTTTGATAACAGAGAGGAAACAGCTCCCTTCTCAATAAAGCTCATGAACTTAATTCAGTGTGAATCCCTTGAGAATTTCTCTTGGCATGGAGTCCCTGGAGTGTCCAAGATAAAACAATGGCCCATGGGGCACAATTCCGAAATTTTCAAAGTGAAAATGCAATCTCCCTATCTTCCCAGCACACGTGTGTTCATGCAACATGAGATTTATGTGTGATTTGGGCTGATTAAATCTATTTTCGGGTTCAGGGATTTGTAGAACCTGAAAATCCTGGTTCTCAGGGGATGAAGAACTTTGTATCCTTTATACAGTTGGTCTTATAAAAGTTTGTTTCCAAGTTGTTTGCCATAAGAACTTGGCATGAGGAACTGGGCCTGAGGGGTTTAGAGATGTACTGAGAGTCTCCATCTAAATACAGGGCTCCTCACAC